GGTAGGGAGCTGAGATGCGAGAGAAAGCTTTGGAGTGGATCACTGCTGGTTGGACACAGGCTCTCGGCACTTCGCGAGCGCCCAGAGCAACCCCCACGTCATTCCACTCTGATCTCGGTCTCTGCTGCTTGCGAGCGTCTCGTACCGATTGACAGTGTGAGCGGAGAGGGGAGAGAGAGGGGGAGAATGGGAGTGTGTGTCTGAGGGAGAGGGAGACAGACCTGCTCTTCTGAGGGAAAGTCGTTCCTGCTACGGTCAGCGCAGTCTCCCAGGCACCGCTTTTGGGAAAAGTTAGCGGCTCCCTAGAATAAAGCAAATGATATGCCGCGCTATTGCTAGAAAAGCAAAATCTTTTTTTTAAAAAAACCTCGACATCTGACAACCTGGAAGTGTCTGGAGAGGAACAGATTTGTGGATCTAATTGGGTAGATCTGCGGGTTTTTTTTACGTCTGGAATATGTGTTAATATTAGGTGGGAACCGACAAAACAAGGGACACAAGTTTCGCCTCTACGGATTTATACCGCTGATCAGCTCGTCTCTTCCCAAAAGGTAAAAGCCTTTCCAGTGGTGCCCGTGTGTCGTAGTATTGTGGCTCACGCTGTCGCGATCAGTGAAAGTGGCTCATTCGGGTCATTGTTGTTGCGATCCTCGCTTACTGAGCGCAAGGCCTAGTACTGAGCGCTGCACAACCTCCGCCTGGGCTTCACAAGGTCTTATACATCGAGTCAATGTTTCAGCAAACATCATGTATGCATGATCATTTCCGTAACTTCTTTTTTGTTAAAGACAGTTACAAAGCCATATATATATATATAAGGGTTCGCGGTTATTATCGCTACGATAATGCTACCGTCATTGAAAACGTCTACATGAAAACATTAGTCAGCTGCTTTATAAAACTGGTAATTGAAGGGACTTGACAATTTATTATAAAGTCACAGCTAAACAAAAAAAGTTTAATTTTCTTCATTGCGTGACTGACCATACAACAAGTTAAACAACAACAAAGTCTCTCATCCAGTAACATGCAAAAACTATTAAAAGCTTCGATTTTAACGCATATCCTCTAGATTTACTTTTAAAGTATACAGTGATTCTGATCGGATAACTATATATCTTGCTAGATACATTGCAAGCAAAAATACATTATCAAATGGTTATTAAAATTATATGTACTGATTACTGCTGAATCGTGTTCTTTAGAGAGGTATTAAAATACTCTAAAATGTCCATTGTACGGTCTCAGTTCATTCAAGAATCTATTAGTAGACCAATAAATGAAATCTTATTTTACATGAATAAGTCATAAGTGTACAAATAGAGTTATTCTTAAAGTAAAACATCGTGAATTAGAATTTCTAAATAAGTAAAAACAGATATTCCTGCAAATACCTAAACCTAAACACTGAGCTAAAAACACTGTGAGAAGTTGTTGAATAGTCTGTGATATATAATATTTTAAATATGTTTTAGTTTCTTTCAGCTGACATAATAGCTGATGGAATATGATGCAGTCATATTTTTAGCTGCGTGTTATAAAGTTGTAGATTTAATTTTCTGAAGCGATATTTTGAAGATTATGCTCGTTTGTAAGCAAAAACTTACGATTCATTAACTTCGTCAGTAAGTAGCAGAAAAGAAAAGTCCAGTATTATACTTGACTTAATGCTTAAGATTAAACTGTTGGATGAGGAATGCAATTAATAATACAAAATGTATATTATATACGTATATTATATTAGTTACTAAATGACTGTATAAAAGCTATCATATTTTGGAATGAAGTGTAGAATATATTTTTAAATATTAGTTTTTATCATTTAAGTATTATACAAAGTTGTGACAAAGGCAGTTTTGTGAGAGACATCATCTTGTACGACTAAAGAGGTACAATAGCGTGGTCTATGACAGTGAATTACACACTTTTTTGAACCAGGGACTAAACTATATTATCAAAGAAAGTCATTATATAATATGGAAGAAATTAAAATATGATTTGACAGTACATTAAAGGCCACGGGGATTTAAAATACATTTATCCAAACTGATCTAATGAAAACCAGCAACGAGGTGTCTGCAAAAAATACAAAAGCAATGAAACTGATATAATCAAGTGCCATGTACATATTTAATCATCCTGAATACGAAGTTCATGAAATAATACATTCATATCAACCAAGGTTAGTCAAGGCCACTCACTCACAATGTTAAGTAATTGATGTGAACACTTCTTTTGAAGAAAAAGAAAATGAATAAAACATGTATTTTGTATTTTCATACATGTTGTTTTTGCTCTATGGGATTTGTAACACTCGTCGATGTTGAATGCAAGGGACTGTTTTCTTACCTCACTTATTAGGTAGGCCTCAACCGAAGCCCACAAGAATCAGAGTAAATATCTTTAGGATTAGACAGACAGTGACCCTGTCAAGAAGATACTTCGTCTCCTTTAAGACAAATCTATCATTTATTAAACCGACGTGAATTGAAATGTGTCAATTTTATGTGCCCTTTTTTTGTCCGTTAATCCCGGGGAAGTTCTTGCGTTGCTTTTGGTTAAGATCGTGTGGTATTCCACTTGACTGCGCGAATTTGATTTTGGTTTCTTTGTTTTTTTATTATTATTTTTTATGGGGGGCGGTCAAACAGTTGGAGGCTCAGCTGAAGGCGTGCCTGACATGGCGGATACAGAGGAAGGCTTCGGGCTTCCCAATACACCTGGGGACTCTGACTCGAAGGACTTGCAAGATGACAACAAGCGGGAAAACCAAACAGGAGCTTCGAGCAAATCTCCATCACCACAGACAACATACACTCAACAGGTTAGAACCAGAATGTCTGAGACATATATCAATGTGGAGGTGGAGTGTTAGTTTCTCAACAGAAAGCTGACTGGACGTTATAAGTCAGAGCCTGATTATATGTAGGCAACATTTAATAATAATCGCTTCTCCGGTAGGACTAGTATTGTAGAAATCCACGAGCCTTAAAACGTATCTCGTCATTTAACCTTCTTTGAGATGTTCAATTTCGTCTTTTTTTAAAGACATATCCCTCTCCAACAAATATACTATATTGCTGTAGGCCTATACTCTTTTTCGAACTAACAATCCACATCTAAAAGCACACCGCTGTTTGTCAGCGCTTTTAAAGTACTCTTTGCTACATTTGTTATTAGCATAAAAAAGCTTGGCGTTTCTTAGCCAAACTGCAATACTTTCCCAATCGTCCCTGGAGCAGTGTGAAAATGTACTGTACGCTACACATTCTTAGCTTGTATATAAATGTATGTTGAACTCACATAACGTGTTCATAACAATAAAATTCGTGTGCATGGCAGAGTAAAAGCGTACACATTCTTTCAAATATTCTGTTGTGTGGTGGAAGTAAGAGAGCTTCATATGATGAGGCAGAGTACATACTGTGCAGTTTACGTGGACGTGAGAAATAAAATAAAAAAGAGATTAAACATTTTAGAAGTAACTTGGGCAGCTTTGATAACTACCGTTATTCTTCTAAATAATGCGTATCTCCTAGTCTATTGAGAAGTACAGGCAAACAGAAATGTCCACATGCTTTTGAGAAAGATAATATATTGTGAACCGTGTCATAATTCAGGAATGTATAGGGAGCAGCGGGCAGGACTTTGTTTAAGTTAGTGAAAGCTTATGTCCCGAAGTAGATAATATACAGAATGGACTGTTTCAAGCTCTTCTTCTTTGGTCTGATATAGCAACTTGCTTACACCGTCTATTTTCACCAATTTGTCCAAGTGTTTTCTGTTATTATTGGCTGGAGCAGTGTCTAACGTTTTAGTAACAGTAGAATTGGTAGGCTACAGACTATACATTGGTAATAACATATGTTATTTAAAAAATACTTTAAAAAAGTTTTAAGTGGCGGGCTATCGTATCTTAAAAAAACGGCTTACAGTGTATATTTTTGTCAACTGTAAACAGAAAGGTGCCACCCGATTAACTATGGTACAGACGTACCCCACCCCCACAACGAAAACATTGTACAAAAAATAAAAAGACACAAAGCAAAACATCGTGAAAGGTAGCACATCGAATTATTATTTAAAATACGAAAAACGTTAACAAGTGTTTTGCAGTTGCAGTTTCCTACGAATATCAGCATTAGTGAAACAAAGCTTGGATTTTCTATAGCTAAAATTTCTTCTTTCTTTTCACTTGCTGTTTTTTCTGTGTAAGATACTTTTAAAACCACACCGATATACAGTTTTAGAACATAAAAATCATTGTTATTTAGTACTACTTTCCCGTGAGAAGGTTTTAATGCACACCAGTCAACGTTTTAGTGAATGAAACGTTCCAAAAATGTCGATTTTTAACTTGTTGAATGTGGTTCGTCATATATAATATTCAAGTTTACCCCCAAACCCCTCAGGTTTGGACATGGATTAAGCTTTTAACAACGTTTTTTTTATGTACTATAAACTCAGCTGCTGTTATGAATGACAATTCGGTTTACGCCAAAATAATATAAAATAAAACGGCATTGGACTTTTTTTATTTGTATTTGGGGTCCTTATTACAGAATGAAGTTCAGTACAATGAGATTCTCTCCACGTTTAAAAACATGCAGGACTGAAACACTGCACTTATCTGATGTAGGTCATTGAATTCCACTATTATGCGGCGGCGAACAAGAAACCTCTGAAATATCCCATACAATAATTGCTATTCAATCACTTTCCTTCGCTACATTTAAGATGCACATGTGACAAAAGAGTGTTATCAATACAAACCGGGCGGTAAACAGTGGCGCAGTCCTTCAATTTCCACAATTATGCAGTACCTTACACTGATGACAATTCTTAGCAACAAGTGCAAAATCACAAAAACACTCGAAGTTTGAATCGTATTTTTGGAAACCTGAATCCAGATCTAGATTACAGTAAACATATGTGTAATACCCATGTTTAACCCGTTAATGAGAAACTTTTTCTTGTTTTTTTTTTAAACTATTTATTAAATTGGATGTTCGACAGGGGATTACTAAAACCTAATCGTTATAAATGTATGTACGACTTGTCCCTCCACGATGTCCATGATGTCTAGGAGTATTTCTCATATATCATTTCACTAAAACAAAAACGTTTTTTTTTCAACAGGGGATGGAAGGCATCAAAGTTTACTTACATGAACGAGAACTCTGGACAAAGTTTCATGAAGTTGGAACAGAGATGATTATAACCAAGGCAGGGAGGTAAGGCTCGCTTTTAATCTTATATTATAATCAGTTGTATAGGTTTCTTTACCTTTTTATTTTCTGTACTGAATATTAGTATCGGAGTGTTTGTACAACAGAATTACGCACCCTATGGAGAATTTAGAATTTCAACTATTTTTGACCTGTCCTATTAAAACAACTTAAATATTTATTAAAAGTAAAACGCATTTGCTTAAAATTGATTTGTATATATGAAATGTGTCTTGTGCAAACGTAGCTTCATTCGTTACGTTTTCCATAACATTATAACAATAATGCATCAAATGTTTTTTATTCATTAAAGCGGATAAAATGATATAGTTAATCAACTAGTTACTGATCAGTTTCCTATAAACCGTTGTATAAATAATTGTTTGTCTGAAATGGCGATATTAAAAAGTATACAGTTAGTATTCTTACAACATACACAACTTTGTTTAGCTTGGCAACACAGTAATGGAACACACAGTAAGCTACTATTGTTGAAATGCACTTGTCATTTATTCATGCAAGACGCTTGTCACTATACAGTGGTACGGCATTATGAATATTATTGATACTCTCACTATTAGAATTGTAAGTATAACCTGCCAACTCCTTTTTAACTGAAAACAACATATTCTTAAAATAATAGGACTTGAGTGTGGGGGAAATGAAGTAACTAGTCTTATTTACCTTGTTTTGTTGAGTTTAAGAAAGTTATTAAAGGTTTGCAAAATGTCCATACTATGGATATATTATCTTAAATATTGCTGTGGGAGTATTTTAAAAGTTCCAGAGGAGTGTAGTTTCTATTTTATATACTGCCTTTATTAATTTAACATATATTTTGATTAGGCGAAGGCCTATCTGATTGACGGTCCTATTCCCTCTCCAACTCTACTTTCTTTTATCGTTTTTCAATATTATTTTTCCTCAGTCCTGTACAGAATCATACAATGGGCGCTTTATGTTCATTGGAGTTTGATTTTTCTCCTTTCAGTCTAATCACGCAATAAAGTTGAGTTGTCGTACCCTACCCCCACAGCCACCTCCTCCCAGTTTGAGCAAGAGAGGAGCCCGGCGGCACTGCCACCTGGTCAGCGTTAGGTTGTAGCAACTAAACCCCCAGCCAAGCACTGGGCCCGTAGGTTTGCAAGCTCGGAGCCTCTCTGCTTTTGAAGTCGGTCTGATATGAGGACTTGGCAAAAGTTTCTTAAATAAAAAAGCGCCTTTCCGCCTCAACTGCCAGATTCTATGGTGGTTAGAGAAACATTAGTCAATGTTACATAAATGTGAAGAGGAGGGGTCTGCACTAACCGAGTGTAATTCTTTAATAATAGAAACCATATTTGACCTAGTACTCCATTTTATTTTGCTTTTGCTCATATTAGATGGGATTTTCCTAGTTTGTATTATATATAAAAATGTAACGGAAACTTCCACGGACAGAGTTAAGCCAACCAGGCACGAAAAACAAGCTTACAGTGAAGGAGCAAATGCTAAATCTAAACTTAAAAAAATTAGAAAAAGCAGTGCAGTTGCTCTTCTCCGATCAATAAGATTAGCTTTGTTGTGATCGTCATTAACATTTAGACGACGGTATTTTATTTTAACAAAAAGCTAAATTAATCTGGAAACTACGAGGAAACGTTTTGCCTCGTTTTGGTTTTTAGTAGCATATACTGTTGGTCCACTCTACAGGAAACCGCATTTTTTGTTTATTCTGTATAAACACGAATATTTAAAAAGGTTAACTGTTTAGCAAACTCAATAGCTGAAAATAGGATACAATAAAATTCATGCAATTCCTCATAATGAAACAGGGTTCATTCAGAGGGAATCTCTGCTTAGGGTCAAATGTTCGGTATGCAATTCTTCCGTGTAGCCACGAATTGTAAATGATTTTGGAGATTTTGATGTTTCTCTTTTATTTAACCTTCTTATAAACATATTACAGAAGAATGTACACCAATATGTGAAAACTGAACAGTTGGGGCTCTTCAACTTTTGTCTAGACCATTATTCAATGGCCTCCGTGACCTGAGCTCAATGCGTGTGTAACAGAATCCGATTGTGAATTTGAAATTCATTAATTTTAGTCGTTGTCGGCAATAGCTGACAATCGGAACGTATTGATATGAATGCACTACATGTTTTTACTAAGCATGAATGTGGCTTCTAAAGAACGTCTAGGCTCAAATCCTTCAAGGAGGCCACTAGAGTCAGTTCTTACGCTGTTAAAAAAAACATCTGTCGAGAAATTTGTAATACCACGTGACATCCCTTTTATTATTTATTTTTTATAGGCGCATGTTTCCAAGCTACAAAGTGAAGGTAACTGGATTGAATCCAAAAACGAAATATATTCTCTTGATGGATATAGTACCAGCAGACGACCACCGCTACAAATTCGCTGATAACAAATGGTATGTAAAAGTACATAAGAAATTCGTAGTTAAATGTGCAATATAACCCGATTACTTCTCTCCGATTCTCTCATCTATGTTGCAGTTTTTGATAACGATTGTTGTGCAGACCAGTAGGAATAATTTAGAGCTTATGCACCAGGTATTGCGCGAAAGAAGGAAATACTATGTTTCAGTGTTTGCGTCCATCATTTTATCAGTTTTGATTAGATGGATGAACATTTTAACCTTTAAAAATTTCACTTTAGTTCTTAAATAACAAACAAGGCCCAAGAAAATCTTGCCTAATACTTTTATAAACATATTATAAAATACACATAATATGCTTCATATAGCCTTTTTCTGTTTAAAATGACCATAAAAATAAGTTCAATAGTTTTGAAACCAATACCCAGAAAGTCATTTTAACTTCTCTCCTTTCACAAGCCACAAATGTTTTTTTTTAATAAACACCAATCGCCAGAATAACCCAAACTACGAAAAACGATATTTGTTCCAGACGTTATACATATTTTAATACTTATTTGGAAGGTAGTGAAAATAACCAACATAAAATAATCGCTTTTTGTATCCCTGTCATTATGAAGAACCTTTTTATAATTTTTTTTGTCAGGTTTTGAACAGAAAGGGTTCACCCTATCTGGAGGGGAATACGGGAACAATTTTACTTTTATTAAAAGAAGATTTGTAATTCAGTGTTTCTGTTTCACCATCACTGAAAATCGTAACCCGGCGACTTGAAGTGGTCCCCCAAACTTTAACAGGCGGATTGTAGTGAGAGCAAGTAGGTCTTCCTGCTCCGCAACGGGCTGGCGACGTACTGTAGTCAGACCGCGCGCTAAGGCTGCGTAAGGTCTCCGGGTTGCCACGACTTGACTGGAATAATCGACTTTTTCATGATACTTGGATATTCGTTTTTCTGTATGTGCTGTTATGCTGTAAATATTGCATAGCATCTTCTGTTGCTGCGTGGAAGCACAGTTCCGCTGTGATAGCGGCAACAGCAGTTTTATAGCCTTTGAACTTGTGATTCCTAGGCGCCATTTTAAATATTCGTCAACACACGGTTCTTCTTGGACTGCGTTGGTATTATGTATTTTATTCAAGTCAGAAGAGAGACAGACCCATAGCGAAGTAGCGATGCACAGATACAGGCAGCACAAATATGCATAACTCTGAGGATTGCGTCACGATGAACATTATTAACGTTGTAATTAATCACATGGCACCATACGAACGTCTTTATTCTGTCAGCAACTGCGTTAGGTTAAACGAATGAAGTAACTACATATAATAGGATAAATATATATATATAGATGGTTCTACATATAGTATTCCAAGTATTTAAAAAGCGATTAATCATTTAATTATTGTTGCTATTGTTTTGGCAACAGCAGCAGTTGCAGTGGTACCACAGCCTGGTCCTAAAACAGCGTAATTTAAAATGTAACGAGAAGATCCACGTTCGGAAAATAATAGTACATGTCCCATTTAGGGACGTACTTGTCAAGGCAGATTAAAAGGTATCAAGAATGAAGGTTTTGGTTAATTCTTGGTCAAATGCGGCGTGACAGAAGAACAGGAAAACGAGAATCCTCATTATCCTCTTTGAAGACCCTCTCCAGCGCCATCAGCCAATTATAATTAATGAATGAAAAAAAAACAGTCCCACCCCTTCGAAACTGCTCTTTCTAACTTGCGGTATGAACTGCTAGGCACTGCAGACTGAGCTCGACTTTCAAAGCCGCACTTTATTTGAAGTCGTATAAGCATCTTACGTATTCGCGATTCCACTCAAGTCTGTTGGTGTTATCCAGTATTATAAATTATCATCATCTTAGCAAATTTTGAGAGAACAACTGACGCTTACAAAGCCAGTCAGGATATGAATGCTGGGAATATACAAAAGACGTTTAAAAGGAAACAGCAAACACGCCAATAGATTGTGTGGTGGGTAGTAGCGGATTATAGGATTTTCTTCAATGGTTAATAAAAATGCAATTTCTATAATGTTGGTTTAAAGTAATCAGTCTTTTGACATTACTACATTTTTTTAATCGCATGAACGCCCCAAATTATATACCTGCTAAAGGACTGCAAACATTTTCTTCGACGGCTCACGAGGAAGTAATCTTTATATAGTCATGCATGAGTCTGATCATTTTGTACAAACCGCTATTTTAGAAGGAATGTCTTTTTTACAGACTGGTTCACTATCAGCGGTACCCACATCTCCTCTTTCACCTAACCATGCATCAATTATGTATTTATTACCAAATTAATTATTTATTTATTTATAAACTGAAATATGGCACCCTGTTCCAACAAGTCACCAACAAGCCTGGTTAATAATTCATGTTCATGGGCGTTGAGTTGAATGAAGAGATAAGAAATGCTTTCAGTAGCAGAAGATGCATTTAGTATAATCCTTCCTCTACATTTCTCTTACTCCTTACATTCGACTTTATAATGTTAAAAAATAAATTGCTTCTGCGCTATCACTTCAATAAGTGTATATTCCTATAACTGATCCTGTTACTCATTGGCTGTAGTTTTGGGTGCCTGGATTATTCCCAAATCTATTTCCAGTCTAAAGACCATGGAAAGTTAGGGAATTGCAATTATTCGTCCTAAGGGCAACTGTTTCTAGTAAAATTTAAAAGGACATGCATTGTTTTCTGAATTAATTCTACAATTTTAATTTGATTTAATAGTTTCTTAATCCAACGTTTTCTTGTTATTTGGGCATCAAAGTCCTACACCACAGTTATTTCTTAAAAGCATATTACTGAATCCGTTACAAAAATGGAGTCTATTCAATAAACATGATTTGTGTGCGTAAGTCTAGACTTTTTAAGTCTTATCTAGCAATTCCTTTCATTTCCAGAGACATTTTAAAAATGTTCTTTAAGAAAATACTCAAGTAGCCTACGGTTCGTAACAGATACCTTCAGGGTTTCAAGCGGACCAATTTGATCACTAATAAGATACTATTTTAGAATTCATATTAGGATGCCTACAAGCTGTAGTTTTCTTGATATAAACTAAGATACAAGACCCAAAACATACTCCAAAGTTGTTTTAATCTTTACAATTACTTCATTACATAGGTCTGAGATATTGGTTACAAAATAGATTTTGATGTAAAACTAGCAAGTTATCCTACAGTATGTAATAAGTTGGGTTGATTTCAGGATTTGCGGAGTATAAAGGTTTAGATATTTGCTGTTTTGCTATTTGCTTTTTGCATTTCTTTCGTGAAAATATACCAATGAGGATCCAGCGTTATTGCAACCAGCGTCCTGTTAAAAACGACCTAATTTGTATAAAAGGAAAAAATAATATTAAAAGATTTAAAGAGAAAATGAATTTAAGATTGTCTCGATGAAATCTTCGTGCGGTCACTTACTTCCCTGTCAAAACGCATTTCGCTACGTTAAACAGTTTGAACTGAAATCTAATTCTGAATATGCTATAGCGCCGGTTAAAAATAGGTGTTTCTGTTGAAAATTCTGTTTTCAAATCACTAGGATTTCTGACGTTGTAATGAAATAAGAGGTTACGGTTTAATTGTATTCTTTATAACTAGTATTAATAATCGAACGGAGAAGGGTTTTTTATTCTTGGTTAAAGAAGTTTTTTAAACAGCGTATGCCAGCGTTTTAAGGTGAGAATACCCCTATAGAATAAAATGTCACCCAAAGCCCGGTGGGGAGTATTGCTTGCAATGAGGCGCAAAAACTTTGGGCAGATTGTTCTAAAGTGTCTGCTTTGATATTTTCCCAAAGCATTTTTTCCCTAAGAACACGGACCAGGAAAACTTTGAAACAGGGTTAACTTGATTTGTAGTTGCGTACATCTAGAACCAGTGTTTACTGATCACATTTAAGGGTTTTTCGCACAGAAATAAGGTTCCTATAAAAACAAAAAAGTCGTTTTGGTTTGGCCTACCGGCTGTGTGGACTGTCCCATCCAGCACTTATCAGACTGCACTGCGCGTTTTGTATTAGAAGATTAAAAAATTCTAAAATGACCAAAAAATAATGTGCAAGAATGAACTTTGACATTATTTGGGGGTTTTTATCCCGTGAATAAAAAAAAAAAACCATAAAAAACAGCGACACTTTAAAGTCAGCCAGCTGGACCTATTCCTGCCTTTAATCCCCAAAAGATATCAACTAAGCATTACGCTTCGAGCCGATTTGTCTCATTTCCTTGATTTTGTTTTTCGAACAGATAACATGCCCTACCAAAGTCTAACCGCTTAGAAATCCGAGAGAAAGAAACAGAGATAAAACACTCTTGATCCATGCAGGTGAGCGGTCGGTGGTGTGTAACGCTGTGAATGTGGTGTGTGACCCAGGTCTGTGACTGGGAAAGCAGAACCCGCTATGCCCGGAAGGCTCTACGTTCACCCCGACTCGCCAGCTACAGGGGCGCATTGGATGAGGCAACTCGTGTCCTTCCAGAAGCTGAAGTTAACGAACAACCACCTCGATCCATTCGGACATGTAAGATGAATGTGTTTGTCTTTGGTGCCTTTTTGATCTTTCGGTTCATTTCGCTACAGGTCTGATGTCATGATGTTTTGAGACTTCACACACTAGAAAACAACGCAGTTTGTGATCAAGCATAAATAATACAAAACACGTAGCGTTTCATTAATACGTCCTCTTAAGTTCTGATGTTCAGTAGTATTGCGACAGAAATCACAATAAAGTGAGTTTTTAGTCCTTGCTGCTATTATTAGTATTAACACATCAATATTAATATAGCCAACAAACGTTACAGTGATCCTCTTTTCAAAAATAGTTGTTTTCAAAAGCAAGAATCGGGAAATATAATATCATATTTGAGGTGAAAATAGCGTTTCCCTTTAAACTGTCAAATTATATCCAAAGCCATTTCTTAGTTCACTAGAAGCGAGAAATGAAAAAGATTAATAATACAATTTTATACGTCAACAAATATTTTTTTCAAAGAAGGATAAATAAAAACTTTCACACACATAGTTATTATATGAAATCAAAGCAGAGTTTTAGTTTTTGCAGAAATCATGAGACAAAAACTCTAAAATACGACAATTTTGCAATTCAAAATTGAAATTGATTATACATCTCTTTAAAGGGACACAGCGATTTTCATTACATATATCATTCAATTGAAACGTTGGTATAAGTAGTTAATATGTTTACTGTATTGTATTTTATCTGTATAGCTTTTCCACTATAAACTTTTGTTAAGTTTTAATTGCAATTTACACGTTTTTTCATCCAACATCCGAAGCTAGGTAAAAACAAATCAAATATAAATATTAGAAAATATGAAACATAAATATTAGTAAATGGTTTATCGAAATTGTTTTAACTCATAGTTTTAGAAAATGACATTAGGATACAGTTTCAGCTAGACTTAAATAATTAAGGCTAGTCCATTAGATATAACCTAAAAGGTTAACATACTTACTTTATTTCAGGAAAATAATTTAATCGCCCGAATAGAATTCCTTAACCTGACTGTCGCGGAAAAGCAGTCTACAATTTAAAGGTGCGGTAAAAACTAACGCAGGCCACAGAATTTTCTTTGCAAGATTCATTTACAACTTGCATTTGGGGATATCGGCAAATATGTCAGACATCTTGGGCTTTTTAATATTAAAAACAGCAATAGAAAATGATGATCAAATTGGTGCCATGTTGCAGTAGATTGTAGTGCAATAACAACAGATTTTTATGACACTAAAATGATTCTGTTGCCAATTAAATTCATTATCCAAAAGGTTTAGAATGATAGCAAATGCTTCTAAGTATATAGAACTTAAATATACAACAGTATATAGCATTAAGAGGCTATGTTCAAATATAAATAAAACACAGAAAGCTAAACTCAAACCACCCTCATTACTTTTCTGGCAACTGAATCAACAGTTCGAACACAAACATCCCAAGAGCGACAATCAGAAAATGTCAGTGGAGACTTTTGGGTTGGATGTGAAAGTTTTGTCCTTTATTTTTTTTTCTTTCCAAACGAGGGCTACCAGTTAGTACAGATTACGCCGAAGTTTTGATATATCTTTCCCATACGTACACTACGTTGTACCTCGGTAGATCTCTATCTGTTAACCTTCAGGATTATTTGAACCGTAGAAACAAACTTTGTAGTGAAAAAACTCCCCCTCTCATCACTTTGAGCATTTACATCTCGCCTACGTCCGTTTCATCAAACTCGCTTTCAGTCTTTGACTAAAATAGTTGCTTCCTTATTTCTTTCATTAAAAAAACTGCTAATGCTTAATATTTTCCAAAAAACTTATCCAAAGCAATTTATTGGTAATCTGTAGACGTGGCAGTGACAACTAAAATATCGTTGTGGTTAAACAGGTTTTAGTAATTTATCCATATATTATGTTAATCTAAACATGATATAGTACATATGGGATTAAAAATTACCACATATGTTTTTGTTTAACACTTTGTATAGTTAAGCCATGAATACTTTATTCAGACATTATACAAGGAGATTAAATATAGGCTCATGCAGTGCCTAATAAAAAGGTTTCGTTTGTGTTTTGCTTATGTATTTTACAGATTAATTATTTAGTTATTAGTTGCAGTTACATATTGATTATCCATGCTGGCATTATTGAGTACTGACACCATCAGTCGTAATAAGATAAAATTGAGGTGAACCATGGTCTTGCATAAAAGTGAAATTTCCAGCTTTTAGAGATAGGTATATGGAGTTTAGTCACCTGATCGTTTGCAATTAGTTAAAACTGTAATGGACAAACTTAAAAAATATAAGAGCACAGAGCATACACCAATGACAGAGATGTAACATGAGATATTCACTTTTATTCTGCTAAGAAACAGCTCTGTACCAAGTATGATTCCTGTTAAGAAATTTCTAACATAATGTACATAGTGTAGTGCATTATTGATTATTGATTATGTACATCCTGCAGACCCCGGATCAGGACTCCTGTAGTTGTACGTCTCTGCTAAGATGTCCTTTGGTCTTAAAGAGCAGGTCCTTCTGGTTACATGTGGATAAGATCTCATGTTGTCAGTCCAGTGGCCATAATAACATACATAATGTATTTTACAATGAACTGGACAGTAAAATACAGTAAAGCAAATGTTTTGTTTACAAAGTCAAAAGAGTAAGGGTAAAGCTGCTTGAGTGTTTTATGGATAGATTTTAGAACTCGCATGCCACTTGCATTCTTCAAAACCCTGGAATATGAGCTATTTGTCTTCCCCACTTTGAATATTTTCAGCTTGTTACATTTATGTGCTAAACTCTGTGTTTTCACACCGTGTTTGATGACTGTTGACAGTAGTACTGTACCTGCCACTTTTGTTTTCAATCTATCGTAGTTCACTGTCTGTAGACATCAAAATACATGCTCTGCTTCAGGAGACTAGGCACAAGTGGGAACCAGTAATCATACATATTTATGAATACAGAACTTTGCTCAATAAGTACATCACACAGACGAAACATTGTGTTTCCTTTCTTCTCTTTTCAGCATGGAATAAACCTATTACTTGTTCCTTCAATACATGCCTGCTTACTATGAATGAGCTATGTTTTTATATAAGTTATCTCTTTACAGTTTTTTGCAGGTAATGTACTGTATATAAAGGTTTATTTAGGCTGTAGGTCTGTTTATTGATGTTTTTTAATTGGTCTTGTTTGTTGGACTGAATGTATTTTAGAAGCTTCAGAAATAAAGGTATGTGGTCTGAAAGAAACCATTAGATCAATAGTTTCCAACAGAACAAAAAGTGGATTTGTTCTCAGCACAACCTTTTTACAGAGCGAGTCTGTAAACACACACACTAGTGGCTTCCTCTATTAACCATGCTGGACTTGAATAGCATACTGAATTGAGTTATTTCTGTACATAGAACAGTTGCTGATGTATAATGGCTTTTGAAATAAATATTTTTATGCAGGCAAGGCCCAGGCACTGCAGACATTCTGAATTTGTTATTTTGCACTTGAAACGTGCAATTAAGCTAAAAAACACAGAGCATCTGGTTATGGAACTCCTAATGATCCAATTTAGAGCCATTTATTTTCATTTTGAGTCTATACTCTTAAGCCAAAGTACACTAAAAACACAAAACAGAGAGAGAAATCTATAATAATCGCGATAGTAAGACACTTTGGATAAAAGCGTCTGCCAAATGAACAAATTTAAATAAGTCTTTAGTTAAAACCTGGCTTTTACTCTGTGCATTATGGAACCATGTTAATTGAATAGTCATTGTTTTGGAACACAAAACAAGATAAGGAATGATATAATGTACAAAAAAACACAATGACATTGTGAACCTGACATGAAGCATATAGGATTCAGATTTTCTGATGATTTTCAATAGTTCTTAATTGACACATAGGAGCAGAAAGAGCATAATGGAAATTGTAATGAAAATAAACACACCTTAGTTAAAACATACTTTTCTACGTGTGGCTTGCACAATGTTGCAGCTATAACGTTTTCCAATCTACTACATCTTGTTTATAATAAAGTCTCTCTACTGTAATATTTACCATGATATATTGTATATATATATATTTGATTAAATACATTTGTTCTTACGTTTTCCTTTGTAATTGCATTTGAATAGAGATGTATTGTACTTGTGTAAGACATCTATATTTACATGAGGTTTTTAGACAATGGTAGATCACTTCATACAAATGTTAGATGTATTTAAAACAGTTGCTCAGTAGCTGACCTCAATGCATGTCCCATCTCTTGCCTATGGAAACCTGTGGGTATGAATGTAATCAGATGATGATAAAAGTACTGCAGTGAATGACAAAAACAGGGTATATCATGGGTCAAGGACGGAAGGAAAGGGAACCTGAAACATCCCCTCGCCTACTAAGTGGGTGGTCCAAGGACAGGACAGAAGCCCACTCTTGAGGCATGTGGAAAAATTTGGTTTGTGGCCTGCCATGTCTGTATCTACACAGTGAAGACACAGGAAATCAGTACATGCCTGTTTTGTGCGATGCCTGGAATTATTTTAACACTAAACTTTTCATGACTGGTATTCTATTATGATTCAAACATCGGTTTAACCTGTTTCTTAGATCTTTCAATGATCAATGGGGATCATTTAATGGAGGACTTAAAAACTAAACTGAAATTGTTATATTTTCTCATAATCTAACTTTTCTAGTGAATTCCCTACTGTTATAACTGGTGTATTTGAAACGCTACTTTACTACAAAAGATTGTAGCTAAATTAGCAATAACAATTTCCACAAGGTTATTTTATATTGCATGAACATGTATATATACACACACTAATTCACCCATGAAAGTGTTACTTAAGAATGATAAAGAACTGTTAGAAATGTGTTATTAGCAGTTAGCATCACAATTTTGCCTCATGTCAGTATAGATACCTATAGTGCTTATCATTGGCAGCACAGCTAAGTCTTAATTACTTAATGCTGCATATAATGAGATAGACATGCACTTTCAGTAACTAACCGCGTGAGGCTCAAAATCTGTATATACTATCAATCAATTGGTATCTAATGAAGCTACAGCTGTAGTAGTCTCCACAGTGTCTGAGGACTATATAGGGAGCAAGGCATCTCATTAAAACTGGATGAATGTGCAGTCAGTACTATTCCTACAGGGCCACATACTGGCCAAGAAAAACAAATACAGCACTGCACCAACAGAAAGAGTTTCAGCTTGCCGACTTCTTGCAAGTCAGCTCATAGTCTGCAATCAAATCCCAAACTCTCTAATTAAACACGAATAGATACTTTAACATTTATAGTCCTCTTAAGCACAGTTTAAAAGTAGAGGCACCATTTTGTTTCAGTAGCTAAACTGATACAAAGATCACATCCTGTCATTTAATAAATTCCTATACCAAATAGCTCCTATTGTGAAGTTCTAGTACCATTTGCACTTAAAATACATAAAGAAATAAACAGTATAGTCAGTATAGTATAGTATCAGTCAATTAAATTTTACTATCACTACTTTCAAGAATTTTTTTTATATGAAGTTATTTACTTGGTATTTTAGATTCTGCAGATTTTATATTCATTACAAATACGTAATTGAGGAATTGTTTTTCTTTTGTGGTTCCAGATAAAGCAAAGATTTCTTCTTGATTTCTGAAAAAAAGACTTTAATTTCTCAATATTTGGATTCTGTACACTCGGTGACAAGAAGTTTAACCATGTTCTTGAAAATTTCCAATAGTTAGAATCATGTTCTAGTTTTAACTTACATTTCTTTATTAGTAAAATATATGCTAGCTTTCCTTGTAAAAAAAACACACGTGAATGATATATAAGTCGAAAAAATCGGAAATTACTTTTTCAGCATGTTGCAGACGCGCGATTGAGGGTTAGAGTTGAATGCTCAGAGGAACAGTTTACGTCTGGCGTTTTAAAACATGCATATTTGCTTTCCTTTAGGAAACACACTATGATACGTGAAACACATTTTTCAACATTACATACTGTACGAATCTTTGTATTTGTAAAATTGAAGACAAAACATCTAGGTAAAGTATAATTTTTGCGATCATTTACGTTCAGGAATTGCACTGGACATGGATCTAGACAAACCCAATATTGGATGGGTTGGGGGTCGGTGTCTATAGTACATTTAAACCATTTTATACAGAACCATCACGGTTATTAGTCCTGTAGATCTCCAATATATCAAAGGTTATTGACCTCTCTGTTGTGTAAACTGGGAAACGGTAAGGGAAGTTGAGGAACACTGACGCGAGGGTACTGCATGTTTACAGATGAAGACTAGACTGCCTGCAGAAAAACTCAAGATATGTTAAACGCTTTCACTTTAAGGAATATGTTTGATAATGGAACAGAACATTCTGTTTGGAAAATGTCGGTTAAATGCAACAGTTTATTGTCTGGGGGCCTGCTAAAAAGCAAAAGGCTTTCTTTGAACACAGAGTATAACGCCCTTAACCGCGCAATTTACTATAGAGCTACGCAGTTTTTCTTGCCTATTTTTTTCCCATTGCTTGGTGTTGTCATGACTATCTTCTCAGATTGAGGAGACGGAAGTGAAGAGATCACACCGTGGTTACATAATTCAGAAAACTAAATACCCTTTACCGTTGCGAAAAACCTTTGCAACAAACGATGCAGCGTCCTTTCAGAGAGCAAAGAGTAGCATTTGGAAAATGCCTGTAAAGATATAAGATACCCTAAAAGCGAAGAGGCAATGTCCTCCTGCCGGGAAGACGCAGGTAATGAAACTAGTCTATCTTAGACAATCTTAGGAGTATGGTCAGCAATGAAGTCAGCAAAAAAAAAACTGCACTACTAGCTCTCAATTAGAGTCGCTGTAATGAAATTAAGAACCATTAGATCGTTCGCCGCTGATGTCTACAGCTACCCGAGATGTCAAACCAATTTGGCTTAAACCCCAGGATGAGAGGCCCCCGCGAGAAAGATGACTTATCGAGGCCGAGCACAGCGCGGTCCAAGCCGGGCAAACAGCGTCTTTCTGTCGCCAACTTCCCGAGGAAAGCAATCGCGACATGATGGATATAAAAGAAAGCAGTGTGAAGCAAGGGACAGGCTAGGCCAGGCTGGTCTTCTACATTCATGTTTACTGTTGTGGTTTTACAAATACAAAAGATCATTTAGCCTACTGAAAAAAAATGTTATGTTTAATCACATGTATATGCAGTTCAATTAAAACGTGCATGGACGTGTACATACAACACAATACAAAAAATCTTCAAAATATAATCATCCTTGTGGTAGAAATAGTGCACGGAATTCAAGTTTAAATACAACTTTGAAGAACTGACCAGAAAAAAATGCATTAAAACGTAAAAATAAGAGACGTTTGCTTGGTTTTTAACATTACACGCACGTAAAGCCTATATGTACTTCTGTACTGTACTTTGATTTATTAGCGCTTATCTCTTGGACGAGATAGTCCTGCCACAGCAGAGTTACTGCTGTTTCTTGTTATTGTTAGTTGCAATGGAAATCGTCACTGTGGCCTCAACGCAATGGAACAGGGTCACAAGAAGGCAAATTTAAAAGCTTCACAACAAATGAATAACTCTCAATGTTTGTCATTCATCTCTCCCACTAAATAAAGTGAGAATATTTTGCACGCCAGCACTCGGTTCTCTGCTCTGATACTACTATGTGTGTTTTCTTTGTAGATTATATTGAACTCCATGCACAAGTACCAACCGAGACTCCATATTGTGAAAGCGGACGAAAATAACGGATTCGGCTCCAAAAACACAGCGTTTTGTACTCATGTCTTCTCTGAAACTGCATTCATTGCAGTTACGTCCTACCAAAACCACAAGGTAAGACAAAGGATCTGGATTTAAATTACATTTAACCCTGTTCTTCTTGTAGGCCTATCACAACGATAAAATTGGTTAATCTTTTTAACTGGTCCGGAACTATAACTTGCAAACATTTAAAGATATTTTCGACGCTAAAATGCAGTTTCAATTACGTCACTATTTCTGTTGTGATTAATTATAGTTAATTAATAATTGTGATTAATATATCCATTCTGAGAAATATTTGCAGGAAATCTAGTTTCCTTCAGTTTAGTGTCAAGTAACTGTATGGGATACACAAAAATAATGCCGATTTTAATAGGAGTATCCTACGCTTAAGAATCACAAAGTATATAAATTATTATAGCGATTCCTTCTTACTTTGTTGCGTAGTTAGCTCACTTGCTATGATTGCGTCTATGATATCAACGAATTGATCTGAATAATTCCTTAACAAACATCAATGTTCTAAATTCCATAGCCTATAAAGACTAATCATCTCATATTAGTTCCAACACTGTGAAATGTTTAACTAGTATGATTCTGAAATAACACTTTTCATCATTTGCCATCTGAAATCACTTAACAGACGCTAGAATCCACTATAAGACACAGCAGTGCTTAATGTATGCAGCCGTCCTTAGATATACTAAGAAAAGGGTTACAGGGATTAGTATGTCTGGACAGATACGTAGATATCAGCCACGGTGACTGAAGAATCGTCAATACCAGGATATCCACAGGGGCAGGAAAATTACATTCAGGGACTTCAGTTTTAGGTCCATGTACTTTGTATATGAACATAGTAGGTGGTAGTATGTTTTTCTCTCACTGATGGAGAAAATCTATTTTGTAATAATATCCTGTTAAAATAACTCTATCACAGTTCCTCGTTGTGCCATTTGGGATACACCGGCCTCGTTGTCATTCCCACAGCAGTCACGCACATTGAACTGTTTCTAGTCTTGAACAACCGTTTGCCATTATGCCCCTTGAGGTTTGACAACGTTGACCGCTTCATCATGTCTGCATGAGAGATTTATGGCGTTGATGTGACAGTAAATATGTTGTTTTTTTGTACGTGATCAAAGGAAAATTAAAATAGCATTTTGGTGACATCAAGACTAGATGTTTTCCTTATCAATCTCGTGATAATGAACTAATCCGTCTATCAAGATCCTGGCAATTCCTGCTTTTTGTTAGGAGACTTACAGACTCAAGTGATCCGCGATGTGCTCGGTGTTAACCGGTGTCTTGTATAAAAACACAGAACACATTCCGTTCATCTATTCTACAGACGCTACATGTGTCGAAATTTACAGTTGAATCCTTCTGACCAACGGAATGACATGGGTGGGGGGGAATCAAAAGATTGATGAGTACCATTTCAAAACTCTTCTTTTCTCCTGGAGACGCCGTATCACGGCTTTTGCTCATCATCCATCTGAGATTCATATTTGCGGCGAAGTCTCACGTTTGAAATTTCTCTTTCTACGTTTGACAAAAACTTCCATCAAAGAATGTATGATGGTCATAGGTCATACACGGAAATTCCTCACTTTCAAGGACAAAATAAGAGCCGTAATTTTTCAAATTATTAACCCTATAGGTTTCTTACATATGATGATTGTTATTTACAATTCACAAGATGCTGATGACCATATATTATGACGATATATTTTACTGTAAGTACTGTAAGAGTTACAAGTCACTGTCAGTCACTTGATTCTTCTTTAATACTGTCTTTTCCTCTACTGCCATTGATGTGATAAAAAATCTCAAAATCGTTAAGGAATCGTTCGGAAGCAACTGATGCTCTTAAGATAGTTCTGTTAAAATATGTTGAAATGTTTATTTTATCATTAATCATTTTTATCAAACCAAAAGCCAAGAAGGAAACATGAACACATCGCAATAGCGGACAAATACAATAATAAAAGACTAATTTTCAAGATTATCCATTCCTGATAAGGATAGTTCTTAATTTTCAATACAAACGTATTGGTGAAACGCGTATTTGCATTTCGTATGTGCATTTTTTAATTAACTTTGAACATCCATTTCTGTGAAGTTGAGTGTATCAAGTGCAGCACAGTGTTTCCATTGACAGCTGCGTTTGAAGGCGAAATCTTCGCCAAATATAAATTTATACCAATTCCTGGAAGCGAGGAATAGGAATAAAAATCAGAAATCATATCGTGGTGTTTCCAAGGTGAAAATATGACCAAAATCATCTCTCCAGAATTAATACAGGACAAGAAGATGATTATTCAATAATATAATTATCGCTGCGTCCCAGAACACAGTTGTCTTTTATTAGTTATGTTTTCTGAAACCACACTTTCAATTCAATAGCAAAAGACCACTATGACACTTACTTCAGGCTTAACAAGCAGACATCACAAATGTTAAGTGGTATTATTACATTTACTAAATGTGTATTTTAATTGTTCAAAATGTGTATTTTAATTGACCAAAACCTTAAACTGATCAATTTACCGACACACTACGTGAAATGAGTCTCCCCACATTCGCTCAATACTCAAACAAGTTGAACCTGCATGAAAATATTTGCGCGGCGCAACTTATCTAATTATACGCGTATTAAGGGAGTATTCAAACCTTTTGCTTCGTATTCAGCGTGCAGGTATTGTGCTTAAATACCTTTTCAAGGGAGATGGTCTTTGATTCTGACTGGCCAAACTCTCTTTCAGATGGTGACGACAAAACAAAATTATATAAAGTTAACTCCACTGGAACTACATTTATATGACTTTATTGGCAGTAACTACAAACGACAGTGGTAAGGACCACAGTAATTTCGGTTTCATAAAATTAAAGAACAAGGTGGAGCGGCCAACCAGCTAATCGAAGAAGAAGTCAATAGAACAATTCTGCAAATCTCGCAACAACGGGTTCCCCTCTTTTCAAATTACTCTCTGTAATTGTGTACACTAAATCTTTAAACGTTTTACGGTGGTTTCATTTTAGATATCAAAACGAGAACATGCTGTACCCGCTAATTTACAAGGCAGATAAAATCTGAAGTGGCTACTGATACTCCTGCAGGTTAAATCCAGACCCATTCTGTGGTTTAGCACCTAGAATTAAAAATGGCAACTCTGCATGCAAACAGGTCCAATTCGAGGCTGTTACTACTGCAATATATTGCTTACAAGGCAGTTACACTGATTTGGGTGTTTTGTGGCCTTCAAATGTGTTTGCATAATCAAACCGTACGTCATGGGCATTAAAACACAGATTATCACTTAATTGTCACATCAGGGGAAAAAAAAGCTGTTGATGGTAGAGTACTAGTGCTGTTTCAGTTTTTGTTCATTTCAGTTTCCAAGTCAAGATCATATCCAGTCCCCGAAGAATATACACAGTGAATTCCTATTTAAAGTCAACAGCAATTTCAGTTTAACTCGTTTAGTTTCGCGAACGGCAACGTTTCGGTTTCGTGTTTGTAACTTTGATGTAATTACTTTAGTTTCTAAGCACTCTCCAAAATTCACTTTATTTTAGTCTGTACCATGGGACAAACACTACACGAGCAATGCTATGAACGATGACTGTGATACAATTAACTTTCGGAGAGAATTTCTCTTTTTACACTCCAAACTAGTACAAGTAAAATATTCTGATACTAATACAACACCACTATATTTAAAAAAAAGAAAATACAGCCGCACTAAGGACATTCAAGAAGCTGCCAAATTGATTTTCAGTTTGTCGCTTTGTCTGACATCATCCATTATCCTTACATTTACTTAGTATATATCTTAATTTTTAATACATCAAGAGATGTTTGAGTTGCTGATTTGGGGCATTTGTCCCGCCACACACAGGATTTAACTATGTTTACTAATCCGACAAGAATATGCGCATAGCCGATTAATATTATGATTGAGTACCTATGTTAAGCTTTAAAAGACATTCAATGAAGTTTGAGGTAGGTGTTCTGAGTTGGTGCGCCGTACGAACAATCAATGGCAATTTCAGCTCGGTGTTTTCCAAGTGATTTCAAGATGCCATCGTTTCTGAATAAATCATCGTCTGAGAGAGTAACTTTTTGGTTCACTTCCAAAGCACTGTAGTTGTAGTGACTGATGTCTAAATCATTATGGAAATCCGTCCACGCTTGAATGAAATATTGCTAAATTAATTAGGCTGTTTCTTTTACTCCCATGTTCCGAGTCTTAAGGTTAAAAATCAATACCGCGTCTCGGATTTAATTGACCAGTGCATGTTTTTCATATCCGGTGGCCAAGTCAAAGTATTGCTGTCGAGGGTCTGGGCGGGGTTATGGAGGGGGGAAAGCGAGACCCATGAATGATGAGCGAGCCAATCAAAATTTAAAATGCCTTTAGAACAGGAAACCTAAACGCCTGTTATCCAAAGGGTGGTGGTAATTACTTTGAGAAGGCGGTCTTTGGTCAATACATATTCTCATTAATTTTTACAGTTTGAGGCTGGAAAACGGAAACGTTTTCTTCTACTGTGCCCCTGGATATAGTCCATATAATCTAATCTAATTTTCCCCTTTCCTTCTCAGGAATTATCTTCTGAAGTTACTTAACCAGCAAATATATATTACAAATGTAAATATGTTGTTCTCGCTTGATTTGACAAATTCCAAGGAGAGACATTCACAAGATTTCCGTGCACTAACACCTGTAGACCTTTTTACTT